GGGCACCGCGCGGCGCCCGAGAGCGCGCTGGGAATGGCGCTACCTGTGGGGCTGCTCGGCAGCAGGTGGTTCCGGCAGGTGCTTCTGCAACTCTGAATTTCCTTCGGTATTTTTCTCTAAGCAGGCAATCATGAGTGATCGAAAGGCAGTGATCAAAAATGCGGACATGTCAGAAGAGATGCAGCAAGACTCGGTGGAATGTGCAACTCAAGCCTTGGAGAAATACAACATTGAGAAGGACATTGCTGCTCACATAAAGAAGGTAGATGTTGGTTTGTAATGTGCTCATGAAAAATCAATTGGGGAGAACGCTGCTAGGCAAGTAGCTCTAGAGAAACAAGTTCTAGAGGCACTAGATAATCGAGTTAGACTTTTTCTGTTCCTTTCCCCACCCTTTATATGCACCTTTCTAGGTCCTTCTGCTTTTCTCTTGTAGTGCCTTGCACCTTTTCTGCCACTGTCGCATTGTCCACGTGAGGATAGAGTGGCACCTGACTGTCCCTGTGACTGATGAGCTGGTACAAGACACGGGCTCTGTGCAGCCTATTTAAAGAGTGGTGGTTTGACGACCATGTAATAAGTGGGTTTGGTTTTTTTCCCTTTCCCACCACATGTAAGACAAGCTGTTCATGCTAATGCTGAACAGATGGTTCATAGCTTACAGTTTGTCACATTTTTTCTCTTGACTCCTACTGGGAGCCTGACTGAGCTGCAAGGAGCTGAAGTGTTTGGTTGAGCAGAACAGAAACTTCCATGTCCTCACAAAAATCTCTTCAGCTGATAGCTGTTAGGTACTGCAGTACAAATCCATTGACTGCATGTGTTTGCTCACTGTAGACCTGTACACAGGAATTTCTTTGTAGCAGGCTCCTGACAGCAGCATATCACAACACCATCTTATGACCAGGTGTCAGGGATTTGGCAGAGAATTTTCCATCAAGTGTCCTTTCAGCATCCTTATTGTAAAAAACATCTAATGAAGTCAAAATACCAGCTTCACTGGAGATTCAGAACAAGTACACAAATTCTTAGAAGTTATGGTCTGAGATCATGGCATGACTTTAGGGGAAGAGTTACCACCCCAAACGTATGTTTTATTCCTGCTCTGCTGGGAAGCACTTTTTAAAATATTTTTTTGGTATGACTAAGCAGCAGATGAGTTATAAAGTGACAGATGATCCTTGTGCTTAAGAACATATGCTGCTCCTTAATTGCTTTCTTCCAAAAGCGATACTTGTTAACAAGTGACAAATCATTGCCAAAAAAACCTCCCCAACTGTTAGACAATATTAGTATAATTACCATGAAAATGCTGACTTTCTAATTCTCTGTTCTGTAGGAATTTGACAAGAAATACAATCCCACGTGGCACTGCATTGTGGGAAGGAACTTTGGCAGCTACGTGACTCATGAGACCAAGCACTTCATCTACTTCTACCTCGGCCAAGTCGCTATTCTTCTTTTCAAGTCTGGCTAGAACCACGGACTGTTACTGAAACTTGCACCTGGGTACAGGACTGCACATTGATTCCCACCTTCAGCCTTCCTGGGGAAACACACCTTGATCTTCAGGTCTTTTGTTGTATTGTTAATGGGCAGGGATTTTGCTGTAGCGGCTCGTATTTTCATTGTGGCTATACAGAAAAGCAAAAATGTCTTCCTTGTATTTATTTTCTTTCAAAAGATGGCTTCTTTGCTAATAAAACTGTTGGAACGAGTTTATCCCTTTGCCCTCTTGCATTACCCTCTTTATTGCCATGTGAATGAAGGATGAACATTCCCACCTCTATTCCCACACCCTAAATCCATCCTTTCTTAGGAAAACTTCTTACAAGACTGATTTAAGTGGAAATAAGTTGATTCAGAGCCCTTTTATTTCATAAGCCTTCCATCATTTGCCTTTGAAAGAAGTAAAGATGTCATGGGAAAAAATCCTTAAACTCCACATGACAAAGATAATAACAGCTTCATAAAAGTCCATAGTTACTTCATAAATCCAAGTTACTTCTCACAAGTATAACATCCTCCTTAAAGCTTAGTAAAAAGAAAGGCATCTTATTTGGAGACTAATCAGTTTGTTTCTGTATCCACACCCACTGCCAACTTGTTCCACTTGTTAGCAGTGCTCAGTTTTGGCCATATCCTTTACATTACACTTGAAGAGGAATGTAAGTGTAAGAAACACCACTGGAATCACTCTTTCTTGGTGGGCAGAGGTAACTTGTGTTCTTCTGAGTCCGGCTGCTGAGCAAGGCCCTGCTGCACAAGTTCTTAGAACTCTTGATATCGTTAAAATTCCACAGCTTTCGTATCCCTCATGAAAATTACACTTCTGGTGATTTGCTACACAGACTCACAGTTTGAAACCTGAGTGAATGGCAACAATGCCGAAGTTTAAATTATCATAATTCACTTTGAAAAAGCCTGCATCTTCTATCATTGCCTTCAGCTCCTCCTGAAAAATAAGTGCCAGAATTATTAACAACCTGAAGGCCCATAAACCAGCTGGCCACAAGATTATGCTGGAATTGTGTTTTGTGTGTTAGTGAATTTGGGGAAATCCTGCCTTACCTGAGGGGGGAACTGTCGGATGCTCTCCACCAGATACTGGTAAGATCTCCAGTCACCAGCAATAACCTCACCCAGAACAGGGATAACCTGGAAACTGTAGAGATCATAGAGCCTGCACAAAGGACAGTAAATACAGATTAACAGAAACAAATTTAAACCCTCTCCAACACGAGCTGGTCTCTCTGCCACTATGCTATGCAGCCTGTAGCTAACTTTAAAAGTGCACCAAAATGTGGTCTCAAAGTGTCTCCAGCTCTTATTCTGAATACATACAAGAGAGCCTTGTGACACAGCATAAAGCATCACCATATTCCTACCTGGAAAGGAGAGGGTTGCTGACATGGCTAAATTCAAGGCAGAGAAATCTTCCTCCTGGTTTCAGCACACGATAGGCCTCTTGAAGTGCCTGAGACAAAGCAGATGTGATAAGTTTTCTTCTGTAGAACAGCACCTGCCTATTATCATGCCATATGATATTATCATGTAATTCTGATGAACTGAGGGGAATGAAGAGTATCCTGACTGGCAACCTGCAATATTTACTGTAGAGAAGCATCACAAGACAAGTAAAAAAAAACCCCAAATGTGCCACAAACCCAAAGCACAAATACTCTTGCTGTTACATAAATAGATTTTTACAAGGCTTTGTGTCAAAACTGTGATGTCGGGTTTGCAATTTTCTTTTCTTTCCCTACTCGCAGTTGATGAAAGTTTGTTGGCAGTGCTCTTATAATTACAGACCAAACACAAAAGGGAGAAGGTGACTCAGCTACAAGAAACTGAAAATCAAAAATGGGCATGATGATTTTTTTAAATCAAAAGAAAAGATTTTACTGTGAGGCACACCCAAAGGTTCAAAGAAGGAATAATACTGGGTTTCGGATGAGCAATGTGTAAGAACAGGAAGGAAAGAGAAATAAGAAAATCTTTGGCTACTTTGAAGATTTCATCCTGCATCAAAATGGAATACCTAACAAGAATCTAGACAAAATCCTGTTTAAAATTTTATGTTCTTTCATACAAGAGCAGAGCTGTATTCCAGAACCTCTAAAGGCTGTACATCTGCTTGACTTCAACTGTCCTGTTCCTATGGGATAAAATATAAACACTACACAGGAGCTCTGAAAGAGTTGGCAGTTTGGGTGTGTTTTGTATCAGGTCTCCAGGGAGCTCTGCTACCAGACTGCTGTATGCATGAAGGCAAAGAGCCTGTGCTTTGGAAGGGTGCAGACAAAGCACCCGGACAAGTCATGCACATTAAGTTCAAAGGCACATGGTTCAAGGTGGTTTGGATCCAAATGCTTCCACAGGAGCTCTGCCAAGGTGGTACCACACTCCTCCAAAAGAGACAACTAGTGCATCCAGACAGGTGTCACCCCCACAACAGCCAGTCCTTCTCAAAGGACAGAGATAGTTTAGAACAAAGAGTACTACTTATCCTAATTAAAATTGTACTTGTTCTTTATAGGGAGCTCTGCCAGTGTAAAGCACAAGTGGGCTGAACAGGCTGGTTCAACAGCAGCAGCCTCTGTCCCACTCTGCTCTGGCAGTTCTGTTGGCTCAGGCAGGGAAACAGAAGGGGACAGGAAGCATTTGACCCACTGTTGGTGGGATATAGATCAGGTGCTGCAGGAAGATTTGAGAGATGAAGACTGACTGCACTGTGCATGTGTAGATCCAGCCATGCATGGTCAGGAGAAGGTGGGGAATGACTGCAGCATCCAGCCCTTTGCCCTACAGACTGTGTGGCTTGCAAAGCTGGAAGGATTGGGTGCAACTGGTATAAATCTATTTTTTTATGACAAAGGTGGGGCACTTAATTGCATTTTCCATTCAAACAAGTTGCATACTACATGCCACTTATTTTAAATGTTTCAGGAGTAGTCTAGGATCTTCCTCTATCCAAAAGAGTTTCAACTTTGCTTCCTTTGTAGAATAAAATAATCATAAGGACCCCATGTCAGGATACACTGTAGTAACTTACCAAATCAATACGAGTTACATTTCTGATTCCAAAGGCAATTGTGTATACATCAAACTTATCATCATCAAAGGGCAACTCTTCAGCATTCCCAAGTACCCAGGACAAGCCTGTAGGGAAAGAAAAGTCACAGAACTGAATACAGACTGCTCCAGAAAGGCTAGAATTCACCCATTCTAGAAGGAATTGATTATTTTTAAAGTGATGTTGAAAACTAGTATTTCCATTTTGCAGTTTTGTTGGAGGAAAGACACCTTGACCTACACTCATAAATTTTTCAGAGTAGTTAATTCTGCAGATCAGCAAAACAGATCATTGTTCTGCACATACACATAGTGTGTATGTGCCACAAAGATTTTACCCAAAACTTGCATCATAGTGGAAAGCACCGCTGGCTGCCATTTGTTTGTGGCAAAGCTGTAAAAAGAGAATCTCTGCTCAAACTGTAGCTACAGACAATTACTAACATCTTGCCATGCAACAATAGCCAAAAACAACACATTTTGGTAGAAAGATTCCACAGGTTGAGGGACATGAAAAGCCACGCTCCCTCCATCAGGACTATCAGTAGGTGATGCATTTGCAGCTGAATTGCTTCCCAGTCCCCAAAGGATCAAGACCATGTCTATCTGTAGAGCATGGATGTCTGGGTTATTGGCAAGCAGACAAAATGCACAATCAGTGACTGTGCAACTCATGTTCCTTTTCCCCAGGCACAGCTCCCACTCTTGGTAAATGTACACAGAAAAAAACCTTTGCCCCTTACAGTTTCTTACTATCAAGAATGTTACTGCCATGGTACAATGCATTATTTACCTTCAGAGTAGCCCAGATGCTGTGCTTTCTGCTTCCCAACTTTTAACATTTCTCTGTTGATGTCACAGACCACCACTTGGGAATCCCCAAGTGAGTTAAATTTGTCCTTTTGGTAACTCTCAAAAATTTCCTGCCATGACAAATTCTGATGCTGCTTGAGCTTCCTCTGGAGCTGGCGTTGTCGTACAGAGCGAACATAATTAATGAATCGAAAGGCAATGTCACCTGCAGTTGTTTTAAAGGAAATATACACATTTTGGCATGTTTTCTGACTCAAGATTAAGTTGAAACATAAGGCTTTGAACATCCAAACGACATATTATTCATTTTTAGTCATCTATATTTATAAAACCACCCCCTCAGACAGACTGTATAGACACAAAAAGAGTGTGTGTATATGTATATAGACAAACAGGGAACTTTTAGAAAACTAAGAGTCCATGACATTCCACAAATTTACAGTTTTTGATAGCATATTATGGCAGGACTATAACACTTCCAGACCCTCAAAGCAAGATATTACAAAACACAAAGATATTAGTTCTCAACCCTTCTCTGGGAAAGACAAATAGATGCTTCACTAGCTTTAAAGACAGGGAGCTAAGGGTGAAAAAAAAAAACCCAGCAGGCAACGTAATTCTGAAAAGACACAAACAGCTGAAAAACAGTGTGGCATTGTCATGTGGAACTCACCAAAATTATTTACCTGTTCCCCCAGCAACATCAAGGAGGAGTGTTCCTGGGCAAGGGTTCATTTTATGCATGAGGATATCCTTCCACACCCGATGAATTCCTAAAGTCATTGAATCATTCATTACATCGTATTTCTTGGCCACCGATTCAAAGACCTGATAAACTGCAAAGAAAGGACATGGGAATGAGATGCAATTTACTTAAAAATGCTAAAGTCTAAGTAGAACGCGTCCTTTTTTTGCACTGTGGAGGTTTGTCACTATGTGGAGCTGAAAAATACCGCACGAAAACTCATTACAAAAGAAAATTAAAAATAAATTTAATCCTACTGAGCCTGCGGCCCGACAGAGGTCTCTGGAGAAACACAGCCTCCCCGAGCTGAGGGAAGTAACAGTGATATTATTCACCGGGACTCCCGGTAACGCCTCAAAGAAGGGCCCAGCCCCAAACACGTCCCCAGCACTCTGGAGAACGATCACCGGCTGTCCGGGCGCCCAGCTCGGCTCCGGGCCCAGCCCGCCCTTTCCCGCCGCCGCCGCCCTCACTTTTCTCCCTCCTCT